ACCTTTGTGTATTAGAATTAAACAATGGGTTCTTAAATATGATACCAAGAGTACATTGCATAAGATTTATTAAACTTCAAATTTTTAAAAGGTAAAACTTGATAATCAAGAACTTTTTTCTCTAAAAGATATCAACAGCCTGAAAAGACAAGCTATAAAACTGAGACAAATATTTGCAAATTATGTGTTAAACAGGGAACTTGTATCCAAAGAATATCACAAACTCTCATAGGCCAAGAATAAAAGAGCAAATAGCTCAATGTTTAAAATCGGGGGCAAAATGGGGCTGGAGAGATGACTCACAGGTTAGAACACTTGCTGTTCTTCCAGTGGACTTGTGTTTGATTCCCAGCACCCATATGGTGGCTAACAAGCATCCGTAACTCCAATTCCAGGGGATTCGACACCCTTTTCTGGCCTCTTTGGGTATTTCATGTACATGGTGCACTTATATACACAGAGGCAAAACATACATATAAAATAAAATAAAAATAAATACAATTGGGCAGAAGTCTTCAAAAGATAGTTCTGTGAAGTACATATAAGGCAGCAAGTAAATGCACACAAAATGTTTTTCTGCATTACATACCATTAGGATCATGAAAATTAAAAACCTTGATGTTGCAGCCATTGTAATAAGAATGCCCAATTAAAATAAAAAGCACTGACAATGTCCAGTGTTAATGTGGATGCAGGATAAGTGAAATTCTTGTAATTGTTAGTAGGAAATTAAAACAAAACATGCAGACACCCTGGAAACATGCCTTAATTCACTTACCCTCAACCTTCACTTACCCTCACCTCAGCAAAGACACTACTGGACACTTATCCCAGCGAAATGAAAACATATGTCTATAAAAATACCTACCTCTACACAAGTATTGGTAGCAGATTTATTTGAAAGAACTTAAGACCAGAAAGAGCCCTCATGCCCCTCAAGTGTTAATAGATGAGATTGTGATTCTTGTAAATGATGGTGTACTGCTCTAGGCAATTAAGAGGGAGTGTATTCTCTACTGGCCTGGGCAACAGCTCCAAGGATCCGAGTGCTGAGTGAAAGAAGCCAGCCCCCAAAGCCTGCATGCTGTGGGTTCCCATTTAGGAGATGCTTGAAGACAAAGGTATAATGATGGAGAAAGATCAGTGATTAATAGAAGGACCGAGTAAGGGCTTGCTAGAGTATAGCTTAGAGATATAGTCCCTTCTGTATCCTTGTTGTGATTGTGGAAACACAAATATATGTGTGTGTTAAAACTACAGAATTGTGCAGCAAAGGAGAACGATGTCAATTTCACTGTACGGTGATTTGAAAAAAAAATAGTGTATTTTCTTTTCCAAAGACGATACAACTATTGTTTCCAGTGGCGTTAGGCACATCCCTCCTTTCTAACTAGAATTTCTTCTGAAAATGTTGTGATGGTCCTTAATTTGTCCATTTCCATCAATCTCCCTGACGCTCCCCGAAAGCGAGAAACTATTCCTTGGCACAGGGCAGTTTGACTGCATGGATAATGGCAGTGTTTTCCCACATGCAACACATTCTTCAGAGACAAGTTCCCAACCTTTTGCAATTTATGGCTTGTGTCTTGATTTTTTTAGATACAAAATTCTGAACCTTTCCCTTGGGTGATTGCTTGATTTCTCTCATAGTTCTTTGCAAAACAAGTAGATTTCCACACCAAGGAGTGCAGATTTCTTTTCACGACTTAGATTCTGCAGTGTTCACCAGAAAGTTTTATGGCAGGGCAGATTCTTGGGACTTGGGTTCATCATATATATTGGATTTAATTTATTTTAATCAGCATACAAAGAATTAGGTTTGATTATAACATATTCAAACAAAATTTCTTGTTGATTCTTTTTCTCTCTTACACAGTCTGTTTGTCTCTTTGAGAAATGTTGTTGGGCCAGGAGTTTGAACTTATATATTATCTATGCCTGCCCACTCTGTTTCTGTTTCTCTGCTTCTGTTTCTCTGTCTCTCTCTGTCTCTCTCACTGTCTCTGTCTGTCTCTCTCACTCTCTAACACTCTCTGTCTCTCATTGCTTGCATGAAATGCGTAATGCCCCCTGGTCTTACTGCTCCCACTTGCATCTTCACGTACGTCCTTTATCTCCCCCAATGTGCTGGTGTCTGAGTTTGGATACCTCTTGGCATTTGCATGAAATGCGTAATGCCCCCTGGTCTTACTGCTCCCACTTGCATCATCTTCACGTATGTCCTTTATCTCCCCCAATGTGCTGGTGTCTGAGTTTGGATACCTCTTGGCATTTATGTTGCTCCTAATCCTCAAGGTCGTTGGTTTTGCTCAGGAGTTGCTGATTTCCATCTCTGTTCTCATATAAATGACTTTCACTGCATCAGGACTTTTCAGTTGTTTTAAATTGTTCCTTTAGCCTTTCCCTCAAGTTTTGGATTGTTCAGAATGTTTCTTATGTTAAGAAACATAGCTGGCTGTAACTGCTGTGGATTTGAATAAATTCTTCTGCTTAGATGTTTCCCTTGTATTGTTGTTTTGTTACTCATTCCTATGATAAATTTCTCAAGGTTATAGTCTGTATTCTGGGCCCCTTATACTTGTCACATTGCAAATGTCCCCCCAAATTTTCCTGAAGCTTTGAATGCTGTTTCCATAGGTAATCTCCCCCCACCTCTCTCTCATCTTTTTGAGACAAGGTCTTCCTGTAGCTCCCTGGAGCTCACTATGTAGAACAGGCTGACCTTGAACTCGCAGAGGTCTGCCTGCCTCTGCCTCTGGAGTGCTGGGATTAAGGGTATGTGCCACCACACTTGGCCTCCTTAGGTAATCTTATCCCTATTAGAGAACTGAGAATATGGGTTTAGCAAGATGACTTTCCCTAGGTCCCTGTTAGCATGTAGCAAAATAGAATTGGAACCCAGGAAGTCTGTGTCTAAAGTTCAAGGATTTATTCTCTAATACTGGAGACATCAAATGCATCCTGGGAGAATCTTTTGCCTATAGTGATGGATAGTAGCAGAGATTAGTGTCCCGATCTTCAACAGGTTAGTGGTCACATGAAGCCTCATTCGTGGCCTTTCTAGATTGTTTTTCCAGCACTAAAGTACTTTGTCCGGAAGAGATGGGAGGTGATAGAAAAACGGGAGTTTTCAGACTGTGCTTACACACTCCCTATACCCTAGGCTCTCAGCTTTTTTATTCCTCAGTCGAATGTGGCAAAGTAAGCCCAGGCTAGGTCACAGGACTGGATTACAGTCATTCACAGGAAAGGTTATCACAGATCATTCAGCACATAAAATTGAGTTATTCCTCCAGATTTGATTTTTATTTGATTTCCGGAGAATAATTTGTTGCATCTTAAGTCACCATGGCTTTCCACTCCGTGAGGCTACACATCTGTCTCTGTAGCCGCCCTTACCCACATGCCCCGTGTGAGGGACTTTGTTCTCACTTTCTTAGCATGAGCCTCTGAACTTGCTTTCTGGAAGTCTCCGTTGTGGAAATGTTGTCAAGTCTTCTGGTTAAGGCACTCTTGTTCTGACAAAGACTTGTCTTTACTCGCCCTCAAGTGAATATAAATTCATAGTTATTGGATAGACTCCAAGTTCAAATGAGCACACTTTTGTCTTTCAAAATATAGGCACAGAGGCTGGGGAGATGGTTCAGTCAGTTAAGTGCAAGCATGAGGAACTGAGTTCACATTCCCACCAGCACCCTTGTGAAAACTAGGTTCAGCAGTACACATTGTAGTCCCAGTGCTAATGAGGCAGAGACCAGAGACATCCTGGAGCTCACTGGCAGGTCAGCCAGCCTAGCTAAGTTAGTGAGTTCTAGGTTCAATGAAAGACCCTGTCTCTAAGAATAAAGTGGAGATGACTGAGTGGAATGTCTAATATTGACCTTTGTAGTCCACACATGGATGCAAAAAACATACACATGTGCACACACATGAATATATGCACACAAACAACACACCTAGCCCTAGACAAGAAGATGGCACATTTTGAGTACTGGAAAGAACAATCTAGACAAGAGATTGGCATGTTTTGTGACTCCTTGCTGCCTGTTTTAAATGTAACAGTCTGTTAGGAGTGGTGACACACACCTTTAATCCCAGCTCTCAGTAGGCAAAGGAAGGCAGATCTCTGTGAAATCTTGGCTAGTCTGGTCTACATAGGGAGTTCCAGGCCAGTTGGGGCTACAAGGAGACCCTGTCTCAAAAATAAAAACAACAACAAAACAAAAAGAATATATCAATCTGATCCACAGTATCTAACATATTTAATAATTTCTCAGTACCGAAAATGCTTGTTGACTCTTAATTTAGAGAATTATGTAGGTGCTCTCCCTTGCTTATACTGTAGATGGCTGTTACTGTTCGAACAAATGGCTTAAATTTGATTTCCCTTTAGGAGAGTAAGTAATATTTCTACAAAGCATAGACTGAGAATACCATTCATTACTTTAACTTTTCTATAACTGCTGATTAAACATAACTTAAAAATTCTGTTCCTTAAAAATGCTTTTTCCAGAACTGTAGAGATGGCTCAGCTGGTAAGAACACTGGCTATTCTTGCAGAGGACCACAGTTTAGCTTTCACATGGCAGTTAGCAACTGTCTGTAACTACAGTTCCCGGGGATCTGGTGCCCTCTTCTGACTTCTGGGGGCTTTGTACACATGGGTACACTTATATACATACAGGAAAAGAACTCATTCACATCAATTAAAAGTAAATTTAAAAATTCTTTTTGCAGTATTTGAGGAAGTTATGAGTTTAGAGTTTCACCTCTCACTAACTTATCAAGAGTAAATTTTCTGAGTTCTTTCTCCCTGGGCTGCCCTGACAGCCAAAAGTCTATGTCCTCTCCTTGTGTTCTGCTTTACAGGGCTCAAGGACATATTTTTCAGTAGACGTGCACTCTTTTGAGGAGTCGATTCTTCATTCTTTATCTCTTTCTCCCTGGGCTGCCCTGACAGCCAAAAGTCTCATGTCCTCTCCTTGTGTTCTGCTTTACAGGGCTCAAGGACGTATTTTTCAGTAGACGTGCACTCTTTTGAGGAGTCGATTCTTCATTCTTTATGCAGGCATGGATCTGGATAAACCATCTGTCTGGGGTTCATTAAAACAGCGGACCAAGCCATTGTTAATTAACTTGAGCAAGAAGAAGGCAAAAAAGACAACAAGCAAACCCCTGGACATAAGGATGAGGCATCACCTGGACCGGCGCCTCAGCCTCTCTGTACCTGACCTCCTGGAGGCAGAGGCCTTGGCCTCTGAGGGTCGACCTTACTCAGGTCCCCAGTCTTCCTATACTTCGGTGCCCAACAGCTTGTCCACTGCAGGCATCCTGCCCAAGAGTAGCAGCAGCTCCTTGAAGCAGTCGGAGGAAGAACTGGATTGGAGCCAGGAGGAAGCAAGCCATCTTCATGGGATGGACACCGACTCGGAGGAGGCCTATGCTTCTGCAGAGGAGAGGAGGGCATCCAGTCAGGGCATCCTGGATCTGCACAGACCTCCCATTGGAGGGGATGCACCAGAAGAGCCAGAGGTGAGACCGGGCCTGGGTACTTTCCAGCTTCTTTTTATCTTTTGTAAAGTGCATTCATTGCCCTTGGAAAATTTGGGTAGAAGTTATTTTGTGGTTATCTTGGATGAAGAGAATGCCATTTACAAGAATTTAAATTAATGTAATATTGATTGCATCTGGTGTTCCCATTTGTTTCAGGGTTGACCTCTATGTATTTCA